GAAGAGAAGAGAAGAGAAGAGAAGAGAAGAGAAGAGAAGAGAAGAGAAGAGAAGAGAAGAGAAGAGAAGAGAAGAGAAGAGAAGAGAAGAGAATTGTCTGATACTATTTGCAACAAGAGAAGTCCCACTGACAGCTAGTTATTCTGACTTTGAGAAATGTGAAAAGCAAGCAGGCAATGGGAAATTTGCATCTGTTGTTTTGTAGCATTAATGAAAAGAATTAAAAAGAAAAACCAGTCCAAACTCCTACACTTCAAGACTCCTCTGCATGCAAAACCAGGTGAGCCTACGCCAATTCTTTCCAGTGTGTGTGTTGAGACTTGGCTGATGATGCATTCCACAAATAATTCCTCTTCTCTGTGTCTGCAAGACATTTTGGTGTAGGAATTAGAACACAATCCAGCATTTCAATTAAAATAATTATTCAAAATGAGCAAACCCTGAGATACTTATATTGTTTTATGCTTAAGAGGTGACATTTGCACTTTCAGAGATATGGAGAGAAATTTTGTTTATGGATCAATGCAGTTTTAAGAAAATCCTGCATCTTGCTTGCTTGTCCTAAAGATCACAACCCCCCCCCAAGGCCTCCTTGTAAAAGGACATTGTTAATATGTACACGTAAGGATCTTATTGCACATTCAGGAAAATGTTCCCAGTAAAACATAAATTACAGTGCCACAAATATTGGGCAGGACAGCCCAATAAAAAAAATTATTCTATTGCTTGCATAGAACAATTTGCCATCTCCCTTTCTAATGCTTTAATATTAATTAAGCATGTCACTATCCTTTTTGCATGCTCAATTTTAATTTCTCAATTAATATATAGGAAAACAAAGGAAAATATGAGAGATTATTTTACTTTCTCTTTATTCAGAGTGAGAAAAAACAGGGCTCATGAGAACAGCACATATAAACAAATAGCCTTTTTTTAATTACAAATAGCTATTAAGTCTCATTTCTTATGCAAGATCATTCTCAGAGAGAATCTGGTCTGGTGCTACAAGACTGTGACTTCTAAGCCCTACTAGATGTTGTGTGTATATGCATCATAGCTTTGCTGAGGCAAGTTCTATTCTTTGACTCCAAATGTCTCCCCTGTGGCTCAACCCTTTCCTGTTGCTTTCATGAAAATGAGAAATAGTCCTTGATCACAGAGTTCCCAGGTTTTTCCTCACACTGACAAAGGAGATTGTTGTCAGTCTGCTGGCAAGTGTTTTGAAGGATACCAAAGAAATGGGATCCAAGTGAATATCCTCATGCATCAGGAAGAGGGTTGTTAATCCTCACTAGAAGCATTATGGACACAGAGATGGGAACACGCAAGAGAGGCCAAGGGCGGCAGGGCACTTAAACACAGATCTTTGGGCAGTTCCTCAGCTTCTCCCTCTCGTGACCTCGCTTCCCAGTGCACTTCCAGGCTCATGACCCCACTTCTGATTGCCAGCCCTACTCCTGCAATCAGCTTCCCATCAAGCCACCTCTTAAGTACCATGACCTCTTGTTTGTAACCCGGTGTTCTGAGAGGCTGGTAAAGAGGCAACTCCCTTGTGATTCCCTCAGCACAGATGCTGCCAGCAAACCACAGAGATCTCAGCCTGCCAGCTCTGTATTTCCTCACACCAGGACTGGAGGCATTTATACCAAGGATTTTGTCTGGGAGAACAATTGTCTTGCCATTATGCACTCCTGTCCTTCAACCTATAGAAATAAGAAGTTTAAACCTTCAAAATACAGGAAGGCCAAGATGTCTCACCCTGCCCAGCCTAGGTGCTCAGCCTGTGATCTCTCAGGATCAAAGGCACATTTCCACTGACCACCCAGACTTCTATGGAAGAGTGCAGCCACAAAGATAACGTGAAACCACACCTTGCCACGACTCTTTCACAGTCACTTCACCCGCAATTTGCAGTGTTCGTTGTGCTGCTAACAGAGGGAAGGGGAAACTAAGCCATTCTGGTAAACCTCCCTTCATTTTAATCCTTCCTCATCAAACAATGCCTCAGCTCCTGACTCTCTGTCCCTTCATCTCTGGCTTTCTCCCATTTTACCATTGAAGTCTGAGAGTTTTTAATAGTGAGAACTTTTTCTGAGGTGGTCTTTAAAGGAGAATGTGTATCTAATCACAGAAGAACTACAGAACCAAGTCATTATTTAGGACTGAAACTGATGCCTAGTCAGCCTCAGACATATTTTCCTCCTCTTGGTATCTCCTATTCTGAACTGCCCAGAATCCCACAATGTTTCATTTGTCAAACTGCAGATGTCACTGCAGATTGGTAGAATCCCACAAGGATCCACATTCAGCTCTCCATGGAAGATCCACACAGGCCAGCTTAAGGTACACACATGCAGGTCCGCTAAAGCAACAGAGGGGAAAATGCATCCAACAAAATGTTTTTCTTTTAATAACAAATATTTTTTTACAGTGTGTTGGTACATCTGCCACACATTAAAAACACCATCTCTGACTGCAGTAACCATATAGGGAATCTTGGATTCAACTGAAGATTTCCGATGCCTGTTAGTAGTAATGCCACATGACTCCCTCTCCCTGACCCTGTTTTGCTAAACACAGGGGAGATCCTCACACTTTTGCAGAAAAGCACAGAAGCATGGATTGATTTTCTTTTCCCCTTAGCGAACATGCTTGCCAGAAAGCAAGCCAGGAAATACCAGCTTCCATAGGCACTGCCGCCGTGGGTGGCTCCAGGCCGGTGCACCCATCCCTCTGGGGGAACAGATGTTGCCACTGATTCACTTTGCAAGCATGTGAGTCAAAGTTTGCATCTGTGACAACTTACACTAAAGAATTGTGAGCAGCTGCAGAGCAAAAAGCACAGAGTGAAAAGTCAATCAAGATGTAAGGCAAGATACGGCATCAACCCTGAAAACTGACAAATGGAATCCATTTGATTCAAGCTGCAGCAAATCTACCTGAGCAGAAGAAAGAAACAGAAAGAAGAGACAGTCAGCAATTCACTGAGTGCCCCGTGTACAATCCGCAGTGACTGCTCTCTCATGCCTTACATACCTCGTTTGACATCAGAAAAAGCTGGAAGGAGTCTGTAAGATACAACAGGACTTCTGATCTGAGTGCTGCAATCTCTCCCTGACCAGTGAATTGCTCAGAGGGTTTGGCTGAAGCACCTGGCCATTTGCAGCCACAGAAAGATCTAGGACATTCTTCATTGCAATGAAAATGTTGGTTCAAGTCTGCTGGTCAAATTCCACTTTTGCCATTTATTTCCTCTTTGATTCAATATTGGCACAGTGTCAAAACTAGGGGAGATGGCTTCTAATTGGTATGCTCTGCCTCACACCACAGGCTAGTGCAGTTCAGCTCGCACCAATGCAATTGAAGTTTATATGTTGCTTCTTGTCTGCAAAACAGGTCGAATTGTCTACAGGAAAAGCACTGCCTACATAAAGAAAACTACTTCTGTGCCTGCACAGGAAAGTGAATACTGGGCAGAAGGAAAAAAAGTGTGCAAATATTTGATCAACCTCCTAAACAAATGTTTCCCAGCTGTTTTTTCCTCCTTTATGTTTGCTTTTTCTGGATATTCATGATATTGGATTTTACTAGCTCAAATGCTTGTACAAGGCAGACAAGCACAAAGTTGCATATTGAGGAAAAACAAATTTTAAATAGGCTTTATCCCCTAACTTGGCAATCAGCAGGATTATGTTACTACACAGGTCAGTCACAAAAGAGAAACAATTCCACAAGTCTTAAGCAAATTAAGGCAGTGATGTGAAAACTTTCTCAAACTTACAGGTAGCATTGGTAGACCAAAAGATAGTTATCTTTATAATCTTCAAACAACTTATAATGATAATTAACCTAATTTAGTCAAAGTCGGAGGTTTCACCAGTCAGAACACTTTTCTAGCTAGTTACCAGGACTATAATTATGCAAAGGGAAGCAACATCTTCAAAATTATGTTCTTTATGAATGTTTTGTCTTCCAAACCCATGTGGTTCAGGGACTTCTTAAATTTAAAAGGAGCGATTTGACTACATGAATAGTTTCCATTTCTTCTTTGGGTAGGACTTTCCCTACTGAATATGCTACTTGTAGCAGCTTAGTAGCTACAAGCTGAGCAGATATTTTTCAATGTTTTCTTGAGCTGCTGTAACATAGGACTGTCTTCAGCATACAGAGCACTTCCATACATTTGCACTGTGTTTTTACATTGTTTTTATAACTAATACTGCAGTTATAAATTGCATTTAGCCATACTGAACCTCATTTGCTATGAGTAGTTCATTTATCTAGCTTTCTTAAGCTTCACCAAATTTTTCCCAGTTTTTGTCTTCCTATCTACATCTTTCATCTTGACTCGTCTAAATTATTTGGGGGCCATCTGCTGACTTTCTGCCTCTGGGCTCATCGTCCTTTCCAAGTTATTATTGTATACATGAAACATTGGCTGTAATACAGAAACTTGTCAGACCCTGCTCTTAGGATTTTGTAATAATGAAAACTGATCACCGATAGAAATTTATTCCTTCCTGCTTTTTCAGCAATAACAACAGCAGTGACTACTTAAGTTTTTAATAGTTGCTGTTAAAGGTCTTTCAAAGTCTAAATAAATTTTATTAACTCATTTTAATTTATCCACTGACCACTTCATTGACACAGTCAAAGAAGTCCAAGGATCTGCTCAGCACAATCTCCACTGCAAACACTCATTGTAATCTTCTAGATTAATTTTATTTCAGTGGCTCAAAGCCTTTTGCAAGGCTTGAATGAAAGGTTCTTGGCCTGAAACCTTCTGAATCATCTCTAAACCACTACAATATTTCTTTACAAAATAAAGAAAGACAAATAAAGAAAACTTTCAAATAAAATATTTTGAAAAAAAAAGTGAAAGGAAAAATTTTGTGAATTTCCCTAGAAGAGTTTGTTTTCATTCTGGATTTTAAAAAAATCATCCTATCCATCTTGAAAGAAACCTTGTTTTATTATTTTTTTTAATAGCTATGCTTCAGCTTGGCTGGTCTAGTCTAGTTCTCTAGACTGATAAAAAATTATGATCTCTGAGACAATTATCCCTCTAGAGTACAATCCTTTCTGTGGAATATTGTCACATAAATACAGGTTTTGCAGCAAGAAGCCATCAGTAAGGAAAATAAAACAGTGGGGTTTTTAAAGAAAAGACTGAAAGTTGTTATTATGCCACTGTGTTATTTCTCATGTGACTGCACCTTGAATGCCCTGTGCAGTTTTTGTTCCTCTGAAGCCAAAAAGGATATATTTGAACTGGGGAAGGTTCAGGAAAAGGTCACAAGGATGATCAAAGGTGTCGATCAGCTTCCCCACCAGGAATCACTAAAGAGAATAGGCTGGAAATG